AGCAAGTTGAAACATTCCTTGTATAATTGTTCGACTCTCAGCTCAATGGTGCAACAAGCCCAAATTTCATATGCTTGTTCACCTTTCCGCATCAATCCTTCGTTTTGGTCCAGCTTGCCTCTTTGCAACTGAAAATTTTGAGTCTTACAACGGTAACACTCGGAATTCATCGATACACTCAAATCATTTGAGTCCAGGTCGGGACATAGCTAACTCGTTCAACAATCACAGGCTTATCCGAGCGCTCACCTCTGGATCACTTTTGTATGATAAAGTATTGAAATCGTTCATCAGGGCAAGCGCAAATGTCTCCAACATCTTCAAAAACAATGTGTTATTTCAAAAGACTGTAGGCTACAATCAATCATGGAACCAGGAGCGTGATTTCAAGGTTGGAAGTAAGATATACACTTTTTATCCTCTGGGTACCAACCAAATGCTGAGTTTATGTTTGAATTTATTCAGAGATTTGTGAGAGACAGGCACCATATGAAGAGTGCATCCCCAAAGCGATCTTGGATTCTTACTCGGCAAAGAACTGGAGGGTTTTGGAGTCATTATCTTTGAAGAATGAGCAGAAATGTGGGGAGGATACCTTTTTATCGGTAAGAGATACATAAGGATTATTGCTCCCTTTCAAAAAGATTATTTCAATTTAAAATATATTCAAATACATTTTATTCACCTTTTTGATTAATTAATTCTAGGTCAAATTACATTCTTCAACAGTGCGGTTTATATGTAGAGTCAAAAGAGTATGGGGAGCGGGTGCATGTGTACCTGAAAAGAGCAAGATTGAGGTTTACAAATGTCAACCTGGGGAGATCAGCAAATTCTACGGCATGCGCCAGATCGATGTTACTGAAGAGACAGTTTGGATAAATCCAAGGGTGAGCAATGAACTTGTTCAATTATTTTGGAGAGCGATTTGGACTGATTATTTTTTTGTTCAGGACATCGAATGTGTTCTTAATGTTCAACATGATTGCCAAACAAGCAGATGTAAAGTCCAAAAAGATCGTGTCATCATGATTGAACGACGTGCTTCAAAAAATCGCGACCATGCTGTAGTTCATAAGGAATCCAGATTCTTTATTCTCAACTCAGGCTTGTTTTATTCTGCTGAGATTCATCGAAATTGGGCTCAGATTCCTTTTCACCATTTACTTCCCAAAGATTGGACCTCTGCAATCTCAACTGGAATTGAGCGCTGGGAAGAAACATTAAAACAGAAGCAAGAAAAAAAAGAAAAGAATCAACAAAGGACCAAAGGTAAACACTCTGGACCTCATGAAGCCCATTCTAAAAAGAGGAAAGTCAGGAAAACAACAACAGATGAGCCAATTTTGGAATCTATTGCGGGTCCATCAACTTATTAAAGCTCAAAAGCAATTCATTTCGAATCTCTCCTCAATTCTTTTTAATTACTCTATTTTTAGTTATTTCAATATCTTTGTACTGTCTGTTGTCCTTTTTTTCTTTATAAAAATTGTGAACCTTACTTGCAATCACAGTATATAATATAATAGATCACATCATTACCCAATAATGGAGTGTTGTGTTCATATTTTAGTAAGTTTCAATTACTTCAAGCGGCCATAGTCTAGTGGTATAGACTGTTGGCTAAGAAGGATGTGCCTGGGTTTGACTCCCAGGCTTGGAGCATCTGACTTGAAAGGAAAACTGGAGCCCCCCGGCTTGTCTCAGACCACATCAAGTCAAATGTTCCAGGGTATCATTGATAGTCTGGTTGAAACTTGAAGTATGCCCCTTCTTTTGTCTTTTTGGAGATTAATCACCAGTTATTCTTATATTGCTCAAAGCTTTACAAGAGCTTCAGATGTTGAATCATGTCCGCTTGTCAGTTGTTCAATCAGCAGGTCACAGATTTCTCGGACTTGTCTTATTTCAAATATTTGATTTCTAAAGTCACTGGTGACCTTTCACACATTGATGACAGGTACCAATATCTTCATATCACCTGTTGACGATTTCTCCTGTTTCCAACGTCACACTTCTCTCTCTCGTTTTACTGAATCGTCCCACCAGATGTCTCGAAAAGCATGTTACAAACCATTCGCCCTCTCTAAGAAATCCAATCCAACTCAGAAGGCCACAAAACCCCAAAAGTCCTTCGCTACCACTTCTGCCACTCCGCGTACCTTGCGCAATTGCGGTACCCCCAAAGCTTTGGACAAACCACCTCCTGTTGGCCGCCAAACCAGGGTCAGCAAAAATAGCAAGCACTCAGGTCCCTCAAATCCACAACCAACTGTAAACAAAGTCAAAACACAAGGACAAGGACCGCGATCCACTCAGGCTTCTTCAGGCAGTCAAAGAATACCTCCGACTGCTCGAACTGCTCCAACTGCTCCAACTCCAGATGATCAAGCTTCTGATCAAGCTGCTGATCAGGCTCTTCAACCTGAGAAACTCTCAACTTTCCAACCTCAAGACCTTGAGGATCTCAATAATGGAGAGAGTGGTTCAGTGATTTTCAATTCTGGTTAAAAAACCTCTCAAATATTCATGCTAATATCAAGCCTTTGCTCGCCCATTAAGACCAAGATGAAGATATGAACAGAGATAACCCAAGTGATGGACTACCTGAATCTCCTACTCCTACCAAACCATTGGCAACATCGACTCCAACCCACCTTACTGGTATGCGTTTAGTCATGTTTAATCGGCTGGCTGATCTGGCCCAACTCGATGAGGAGCATATGATCATGGGCCGTAAGCTCTGCAATGTAAGCTAGAGATCGACTGTTTCCAAGATAGAATAACTGAATACTGGTCTTTAGGTGAATGAATCTGCAGACCATTTTGTATCGATGATGGTTACTTTGCTCTCAACTCGCCAAGAGATTGCAAACTATCACCAAGCAATTTCCAGTCAGATCTCTCAGTTACTGGCCAGCGCAGGATCCGGGAAGTCCTTAGGTAACAATACATGGACTGCGTGCTATGAGCTCAGGGTGCGTTGAGTTTTCCATAGATGTTGAACGTAAATCTTAACCCTTTGGTGATTCTACATAGCAAAGTACACATTTGATAGCCACTCAGTGCATTATTGCTGGTGATGTACAAGCGTACACAGCCACTGCAGACAAGGAGGGAACTCAAGAACAGCTCCCCCGCTCCTTATACACAAAAACATTGGTAATCAACTACTTCACCCCTTCTCATTTTGGTATTATCGATCCTAATCATGTGTACTGATTCTTTTTGCAGGATGCGCTCCTCAAGAACCCTTCCGAATGGAGAAAGAGAATGCTTCCAGCACGGTATGGAAAGGATCCAGACCCTGTTGACGCAAAAGAGTTCCACAAGTGGCTCAACATCATTTTGAAAGAAATACGTAAGGATTTGAATAAAATCGTAAGCAGTTTTGCCCATGGTTTTTCTCAGAATTTCTTACATTTTTGCATTGTAAAGCTCCTTAACGGTATCAACCTTCCAAACCGGGTTGGTAACAAAAGGCCATCAAAATTAATTGTACCAGACATCGATGGTATCATTGTTAAGGCAAGTACCTCATGATTTTCCTTCTATTTTATATTCCAGGCTTACATTTGAGTACCAATAGATACACGAAAGAGAACATGATTATATTGGAGGCCAGGTTCGTGTCCGTGAGCAGATTCTTGAGGCTGTGGATCATCTTCGACAAGGTCGATACGCTTGGCTGGTAAGTTGGAAATATCAATTCATTATGCAATATGTTCACCAGCTCAAATAAATGACTTGTATATGTTATGCTCCAGAGAATTCAAGCCGTTCATGTGGGTCTCAACTCTGCTGATTACAGCAATAGATCTATCTGGGCTGTTGTGGATGATACATTGGAACAATTGCGCAAGAAGACACAACGCTATTGTTACGCGTAAGTATTGTATTCCAGTTTCTGATTGCATCATGGGATGTTGATTACCCCAATTATTCAACGTACAGATACTTTGTATTGGTTTTACAAAGCGACTTTGACCGATTCAATGGGGAGAAAACATTTGCGGAGATTGAAAAAACTACTGATTTTTCATTGCCTACTGAAGAAGAAGTTGATGCCAAAGTTGAAGAGCTGAACCAGACTTTTGGACCAAGATTGTGTGTAGATGAAGGCGCTCATGAGGAGCCTGAAGATGATGAGGATCACCCTGATGAGGAAGATGAGGCTGATGAAGAGGATGTGTAAGATTGTATAATTTTTATTCTTATAGCAAGCACCTATATTTTGTATCTGTTATACACATTATTGAGGTTTGTATAAACAGTAATTTTTTTATCTTTCAAGTTCTTATTGCAAGCATCTATGTTTTGTATCTGGTATTACATTCATCACTTTTTCACTTCTACCTGCAGATTTAATTTGTATCTTTTATATTTGTTAATGTTGCAATTTTGTGTCAATACAATACTTAGTTTCACATTATTCACCACGTAATCATGAACCTGTGAGCAAATATGGGCCGAGCAATCAAAAATTGACACCTGCAAGCTGACCAGAAAAGCGGACCAACCCAGATTTTCCTCCACTGTAACACGGTCTCAGAACCAAACCATATGCCCCGGTTCTGCCCTGGTTTGGCAGGTGCCATTCTATACCCGTTCTTCACCACTCACAAAAATTGGTTCTACAACCGAGCCAAAACCTGGTTCAGGAACCGGGTCCGTGGGTCCGTGGTGTAGGTTGGTGACCTCCAAGTTAATAACGAATAGGTTGGTGACCTCCAAGTTAATAACCAATTAGGTTGGTGACCTCTAAGAGACAACCAAGATAGTGATCTTCATAATCATAACAATTAATCCCAGAGACGGTTCGCTTACAAAACTTGACAAAATCCACCATTAGCGTGATTTTTGAGTTTTGTCCTTGGTCAGAAACCTTTCACTGCAATTCAATTTGCATTCACCATCATGATCCTTGCCAATCCCAATTACAATCCGGCGGATCTCCA